AAACCAATTTTAAAATCCATATGAAAGTGCAAAAGTCTAAACTAACCAAGACATCCTGAAATAAGAATAAGGTGGGGAGACTGTAGAAGATATCAAGATATGTTACAAAACTATAATAATTTAGACAGTGTCTTATTGATTTAGGGATAGACAAAGAGATTAATGAAACAGAAAGATAGAGCCTGGTGGCACAGTGGTTAAGAGTTAAGCTGCTAACCAAAAGGTTGGCAGTTCAAATCCACCAGCTGCTCCTTGGAACCCTATGTGGCAGTTCTACTCTGTCCTGTAGGGTCACTATGAGTCAGAATCCACTCAACAAAACAGCTTAATAGAGAGAGAGAGAGACAGACGCATAAATATTTGGACACTCGACATACAACAGAAGTGTGTTTTAGATCAGTTGGAAAATGATTCATTTTTCAATATATGGTGTTGGCATTATTATTTATTCATATGGAAGAAAGTAAATTGGATCCCTGCCTCACAGCATACCTCAAAATCAGTACAGGTAGCTTAAAGACCTAAATGTGAAAGGCAAAATGAAAACCCTCAAAAAAACATTTAAAAGAATGTCTTTTGTGTCCTTGGGGTAGGGGTATAGATTTCTGAAACAAGATTCAAGAAGCACAGATCATGAAAGAAATGGTTGATAAGTTTGCTGTATTAAAATTGAAAGCGTCCAGTTATCAAAAGTTACCATAAGAAAGTGAAAACTGAAGCTGCAAACTGGGAGAAGATACTTGCAACACATGAAAACAAAATTATGAATATATATGTCCTGAATATATCGACAACCCCTGCACATCAAGAAACAGATAAACCTGTAGACAAATGGGAAAAGTAAATAAAATTTATATAAGATACAAATGGGAAAAATAAAATTTATATAAGATGAAAAGTTCATAAACATATAAAAGATGTTCAATCGTATTAGTGGTAAGGGAAATGCAAATTAAAATCACAATGAGATACCATTATCTCACCATTCAGATTGGCAAAAAAAGAAATTTTTTTAAAGACAATATAAGATGTTATGAGGTACTACTTTTGGAACAGGTTGCAAATACCTTGTAAAGTTGAACAAATGTATACAACATAATAGTTACACTTCTGGGTGTATACCTTACAGAAACTCTCACACATGTACACCAGGAGTTTATAGTAGAACCGTTCATAATAGCAAAAAAAAAAAATTACCCAAGTACCTGTTAACAGTAAAACAGGTATCATGGATTGAATTGTGTCCCCCAAAAATATCTGTCAGCTTGGCTAGGTCATGATTCCCAGTACTGTATGATTGTCTACATTTTGTCATCTGATGTGATTTCCCCATGTGTTGTAAAGCCTATCACTATGGTGTAATGAGATGGATTAGTGGTAGTTATATTGATGAGATCTATAAGATTAGATAGTGTCTTAAGCCAATCTCTTTTGAGATATAAAAGAGAGAAGTGAGCAGAGAGACATGGGGACCTCATACCACAAAGAAAGCAGTGCCAGGAGCACAGCGCATCCTTTGAACCTGAGGTTCCTGCGCTAAGGTGCTCCCAGACCAAGGGAAGACTGATGTATCACAAGGACCTTTCTCCAGAGCCAACAGAGAAAGCCTTCCCCTGGAGCCAGCACCCTGAATTCGAACTGTAGCCTAGTGGACTGTGAGAGAATAAACTTCTGTTTGTTGAAGCCATCCACTTGTGGTATTTCTGTTATAGTGGCACTAGATAACCAAGACAATGGGCAAATAAATTATGGTGTTGCTACCAAAGAATAACATACAACAGCAGACATGAATGAACTACAACTACACATATCAACCTAGGTCAATCTTAGAGACAATTTGAATGAAAAATCTAGAAGAAAACGTAACAGTGTGATTCTATTCATATAAAATTTAAAATTAGGTGAAACTAAACAAGGTATTGTTTAGGGAATTACACATAAGTGGTAACAAGTTTAAACAAAAGGAAGGGACTGATTGGCATAAAATACAGGATGTGGCCACTTCCGGTGTGGAGGGGGAGGGAAGTAATTAGAAAAGGCACAAATGGGGCTTCTGAAATATGTTAATGGACTACTTCTAATGTGCTCAGCACATGGGTGTTAATTGATTTTTAAACTGTGTAAATATTTGCATCTACTCTTTCGTATGTATAATTTATTTCATAATAAAATAAACAACTTTTTGGTAATAGTTATATATTTTCATTTTAGAACATTTGGAAAATGGAACTGGGTTTAATCAATGAGAAAAAAATAGCATCCTTAACATTCTTACAAAAATAACAGCCTTGAACATTTCCAGAGAGGGTTGCAATGTGCTTGCAATTGCAACTTTTCCATTTTTGAATGACAACAAAAGCAGAGACATTTTAACATGATAATATGGGCAGAGAATGTGCTTTAACAATGCCAACAGCAGAGTTAACTTGAAAAATAACATGAGTAGCTATTATGGAATCGAGACAAGTTTTGGGCTATTTTATACTGACCAAGTGAAATATATTTTGTCTCTGGAAAATGTGGTGCTTTCCAACTTGTCTATGGCAAAGTCATGGAAGCTTCATAGACACATCCAAACTCCCGGAAGGACTAAATTACTGGGCTGAGGGATCTGGGGACCATGGTCTTGGGGAACATCTAGCTCAACTGGTATAACATTTTTTATAAAGAAAATATTCTACATTCTACTTTGGTGAGTTGTGCCTGGGGTCTTAAAAGCTTGTGAGCGGCCATCTAAGGTACTCCATTGGTCTCACCCTGTCTACAGCAAGCGAGAAGGAAGAAAACCAAAGACACTAGGGAAAGATTAGTCCAAAGGACTAATGGACCACAACTACCA